GGAGATGATATCTCACTTTCCCTCTCTCTCTGTCTCTGGTGAGTGCACACACCTTATCACCAAAAAGAAAAAAAACAAACAAAAAATATCGCCAAAATGAAAAAAGCAAAAACCTCACAAAGAGCCAAGTATAACTGTAATTAAATATTCAAACTTGCAAATCTTCAATGTCTAATAACAAGCAATTTTTAAAAAGCAGTTAATAAGACATTTGCAAAACAGCATTTCACGGAAGTTTAAAAGAAAATAAGGGATCATTTAATAAGCACCTAACAACTAAGGGATCATTTAATAAGCCCCTAACAACAACCCCCCCCCCCAAAAAAATCAAAAGGTCCTAACATATCTATACCACTTTTAAAATTTTCAGTTTTTCAGTTGTCTAGGCTGGCTCTGTGACATAGCATTAATACACTGCTCAAGAAAAGCTGGATCTCTTATGGCAACCATGGTTCAATGACTGGTCTAGTTAGTCTGAAACCCTGCAGGATCCAAATGAACTGGAGGGGGAAGGAATGGGGGAATAGAGACACAGAGTGCAGACCCTGTAGAGTGCTCCCCCCCCTCTCTCTCACTGTCTCTCTCTCTATGTGTCCATGAACCTTACTCAATTATAAATAATTTTTTTTTTAAATGCACTGAAAGTACCTGTTTTCCTGAGTCCTTTACCAATAGAATACTGAATAGAAACAGTGGTAACTACTCAGCTTCTGAGTCTTTAATAATGCCTTTGGAGATCCTTTAAGCATCCCCTTCCTCTTCAGTCTTTACAGCTGCTGGGGCCAGAAGATTTGCCTTCATGCCTGACTCACCAATGGCTCTTCCATCGTCAACCCTCTACCTTTTAACCTGGATAACAGAGAAATTTTCTACCTAACGCTCCCATTCAACCAGCCAATGGTAAGCCTTCGACGTAGCAATACATCAGATTCTACTACTTCTCTGAGCCAGCCTCCCCAGCTCCAACCATATTCAATCACATCTTACAAATCCAACAAGGCCCTACAACTACCAATCCCATGGTTTTGTTCTATTGCTTTCTAGAAATAAATTCCATGATTCATTTTTATTTACTGTCTACCTTCCTGGAGTATAAATGCCATGAAGGAAAGGATTTTTGTCCATTTCATTCAGTGATCCATCCCAAATAGCCTCTCCTACCTGAGTAAACATGAGCTCTCAACAAAATATTAGCACACCTAACACCTTTTCTCTGTTCTTTCATTTTATACAACAAAACCCAGAATGCAGAAAAAGTCAGAACCAGTAAACAGTCATCACCAACTGCCAAACAGGAGCAAGGCTATTTGAGATTACCCAGCCCCAGGCAAGCCTGCCCATGACTGCAGAAATAGGGGTATCTGTGAGTGAGCCCAGTGAAGAACCTGGCTGAGTTCCACCCAAACTGCTTACCCAGAGAATTGCCATGAATGGCAGTTGTTTAATGCCACTGTATTTTATGGTAGTTTTTATAAGGCAATTTTATTTACTGAGCCCTTTGCCGGCATGATGCAGATCAGTGTGAACACTTTCCACAGGGTCCCTCTGTAGCTCTCCAACTTCACCTCTCTTGCCAAACCAAAGAAGTCAAATAATATCTGTGAGGTGGAAGAATACACTGTTCTTCATATAAACATCATTTTTTACTATTTTAAAGAGCCCAAGTGTTACAGACATTTGTGGTCAGAAAAGGCAACAAGAAATGCTTGATATCACATTTTGAAGGCCAGACTTAAAAAATCTAAATAGTTCACAGCATCAACGGTGTTGGGATGACAAGAGGATTTCGGGAAAAACCTGTTTTAAAATTTAAGCCCATGGAACTTGCCCTGGCTCAGATGAACTGGGAGAACATCATGTTGAGAGAAATGAGCCAGTCACAAAAGACAAATGCTGAGTGATTAAATTGGGTCATCAGAAAAGTCTGTTGTATTTTTCTACATTTTTTTATGTAAAAATGCACCATGACATTTCTGATGACCTAATACTAACCTGAGTAGTTAAATTCACAGAAGCAGAATGTAAAAGGGTGGTGGACCAGAGGTGGGGAAAAGAGAAAGGAGCTATTGTCTGAGGAGGAAATGTGAGCTCTTCAATGGGTACAAATTTTGTTTTTTAAGAAAAAAAATCTCTGGAGACTGGTTGCACAACTGTGTGAACACATTTAACATACTAAACTGTACACTTAAAATGGTTAAGATGGTAAATTTTGTGCTTACATGTATTACCACAAATTTAAAAAAATACAGATACACACTCAAGTGGAATATCCAAAGTCATACAAGGGGCCCTCAAAAGAGCATCATCTTCCAGGGTGGGGAAGCAGGCCGCTGCCGCTCAATGACAAATCGGCTGGGGACAGCTGGGGTCCGGCCCCGAGAGGAGGCAGCCGGGGGGGCGGGGCGCGTTTAAGAGCTGTGGGCCGGGTGCGGACGGCCTTGGCGACGCGGGAGCTGTCGTCAAATCACTTGGCATATTCCCAGGACGGAAAGAAAGCAAAGCCAGCTGGTGAAAGGTCTCTAGGCCCTGACCAGTGGAGGGTGAAGATTTATTCATGGCAAACCATTAAGAGGTATTAAGCAATCTTGTCTGTTTTTTTGCTGTTGGTATTGTTTCCCTCTCTCTGCTTCTTTTTCTGCACACTCCTCGACCCTCTGATTGAACTTCCAAGTTTGGGAAGAAACCGACCATCCACCAGATGACTAGAAATCGCTGCAGGACCACAAGAAATATGGGGAAGCAGGAAAATACCTCTCCCACAAGGGAAAAGGATAGCTCCTCTTTATCCACACACAGTTCAATGGAAATCATGGAAATGTCTGATAAAGAATTCAGAACATTCATAATGGCAAAGCTAACAGAGATGGAAGAGAAGAGAGACAAGGAACTGCTGAAGAGGAAGGAGAAAGGAGTTGAAGAGTTCCAGGAGGTGAGGAAATTCAT